AATTTTTTTGCAAGGAACTAAAAACAATCGTCATTATGAAGAGGTTTTGTATTAAATTTATTGCAGTATTCTTGAGCATTTTTTTGTTAAAATTTTCACGATAATTTTTAATCGTTAATTCAATGTTTTTTTCCGATTCAAAATAATCGCTATTCTATATTTTCAATTTGTCGATTTTTTTTTTAATTGCTATTCTATGATTTATTATTTTTCGATCATATTATAATAGAAATCGGTTTTAAAATTATAGTCTAAATTATAACGGTTAAAAATGATTGAAAAAATAATAATGTAAATCACAAAAGGCCCATCTATCCAAGAGTATAGCACAAGCTATCAATGGCTTTTCAAGGATACTTTTCCTAGCAAATTCGTTAGCCACACAGCTCTGCGTACTGTCGCTTTGAGCCGGAACCGAAGTTGCGAAGCAACTGAGAGAGAGAGCTGACATTCCTTCGCTAAATTAGAGCGCACTTAAGGCACAAATAGCCGCTGTCGCGATAGGTTCTGCGCCCCCTTTTATGAAGATATATAGAGGATTAGAGGAACAGAAATTATTTAGGCAAGTTGCAAAAGAGTGCATTTTGAGTAGAATCCTTCAATAAACTGCGCTCTTGGCCACACTAAGAACCAGTTCTGACGCATATGACAGACTTTTTGACTGGCTACGTTACATTCGTGCACACTTTTTCTAAAATATGAATCAATTGTCCACTAAATAACAGAAAACCAACTGGGCTTTTTAGGTGATATGATCAGGTGCGATCCTACATATATATGTATGTGTCTGTAAAAGAAAGGTTTAAATAAATCCTGGGGTATTCGAATGTGCACTGGCTACCTCACACTATTGGGAAGTTTAATGATGGGTTGTGTCAGAAAATTGGAAATTTCTGCGAAACGCGTGAGCGAATATTGCTAGCTTTTCAGTATGCCATCTACAATGCATAATGCTCAATTGTTGTAAATTTTTGGGGTTTTGACAATTTTTGCTAATAAAATTTGGGCACTGGCAACGTTACGCAAAACAATAAAATAGTTATTAAAATTTAGCAGCATAATGCTCAATTCGCAATTGTTCATGAAAAGACTTTCTTAAATAGGTGTTATTATTTATTGCTAAAATGAAATAAGAATAGTTATCAAGTCAATAAAAAATTTTAATTAAAAAAAGCGCTGGCCACGTTATTTATTAGGTATTTATCGGTACATTGTGGTAGATCTGCCACTTTTTTTGAGCATCTACCACATCTACCACTCAAGGTCTGAAATCTACCACATAATCGCGTTTTTGAGTAGTTTTATTTTTGCTTGACATAATTGTCTTAATTTTAAGACCAAAAATTGTCCAACACTAAACACTTATATGGTAACAAAGAATGATATAATACAAGATTCTGCATTCCCAGCGACGATGAAATTTCTCAAGTAAAGGTAAACCAGGCCGAATGCGAGGATAAAATAAACGGTAAAATAGTAAATTTACTCAGTAATAACTTTTTTGACAGGAAACGCGGTTTTATTGTGTTAAATTGCAAAATATATGATTAGAGTAGATTTACTCCGATTTCTTTTTTAAATTAAAAATCTAATCCCTACTCCGCTTGACTTAAATATGCTCCGATTTTTTTTTACTTTTTTCCATTCACATTAAGAATTTATTAAAAATAATATGGTAACTTTTTAAATTTTTGCTCAATTATTTCTAAGGCAACCACCAAGGTTTTGTATATCAAAGTGTAACAGAAGTTGTCTCTTTTACTCCTTAACATTCCTTGCGGAATCATTTTTGATTACCCAAATCAGGGGATAGATTAAGGACCACAAAAAAGTTTTGGAAAGGTGTATGTTTAACAACAATGTTGACGTGAGCTGCTTTACTGCACAGTAGTGCTGCTGCCGAAAGAAAATTTTCAGAGATGAATCACATTAAAAATAAACACTCCGCAAGGTTGCAGAAGTCTCTTAAAATATATTCGAAAAAAATCTTGACTGTCATGGAAAAAAATGCCAAAAACCTAACGCAAATTTTAGCAACTTCAATCTTTCGCTTTATTATATTAAAATAAAGTTGTTTTAGAGTCGAATTAAAAAGTTTGCCATTTAGGTGAAACCTTGCAGAATTTTTTTAATATTTGTACAAAGTTTTATCCAAACCCAGAGATCTACCACATTTTTATCAGATTCTACAACACAGAATTTTTTTAAAGTCAGATCACTGGTTATATATCATTTTGGAATTATCCAAAAAAAAACAACTTTTTTAGTTTTTCACTGGCTACGTTACACTTAACATTTGCAGTACATTTCATTACGACCTAATAGTAGTTCTAAACAACTTTTTCGCTAACTTGGAACGTATCCCCTTAAACTAATTTATTTTCTATCGTTCAGAACTTAATCGGCCAAATTAAATCAACGAAAGCTTATATTTTTGTACTTTTCCTTGTTGAAGTATCGAAAACTGTTTTTAGGTTCGTGAAAAATCCTGCTTCAACATGATAAGAATTACAGCCGTATTCTAACAAAGTTACAAAATTTAGCTCATCACTGCTGTGCGCTCAAAGTTTTCTTCCGCAACAAATATTCTGATACAACACAAATATTTAAGTTTTTATATATTTTTCTAGCACTCAAAATGGAATTTTCGTCGTGGCACATTTTGCGGCGCTCTAGAATTCACAACAGTGATGAGATAAGTTTTGTGAGCCTGTTAGAATCAGGGTATTAGTGTCAGAAGCAGCTGGCAGATGTAGTGAATAACAATAATCACCAACAAGTACAATATTTGAAAGAAAGAAAAAGTCGGGCTAGTTTACTTTCCTGTGGAATCGACCATCTGAGACCATTTTCTTTATCAGAAAATTAAACCTAACCTATAATAGTTTTTGCAACTCTCTGTCGTTAGGGTTCCACACGAGCAGTCGTCAAGACTAGGACTACAGCAGTTTCTCGAATAAGTGAAACTCACCGAAGAATTTTCGGAACCGAGTACATATTTTTGTGGTTGTTGTTGTATGATCTTACCAAACCTAGCCTCAATCAATGAAACAAGCATTTTCGGAAATTGGATCGAAAAGAGATGTCTGTTAGATAAGTTGGTTCGAGTGGTCATGAACGTAGTTGTGCCAAAACAACGCCGAACTTAGGTTCCAACTCAAGTTTTTCATCTACGATAGATCCCGGCAAACACAGTCTTTAGCGTTAGAGACATCTTTATTTCTACACTAGATAACTAGGGTAATCCTCTAAACGTTCTGGAGTCGATGACGAAGTTAGAGTACAACCTTAGAATTCGATTCAAGAACGATTAGAGAAACAACTCAAATTCAAAATAAATGTAAATAAGCAATATTCGAAATCAATGAATCGTAAATCATTTTTAAGTTCAAATAATGTATTATTATTTTATTGCAAATACATTCCATTCAAATTTTACAACCAAATGTTTTATTTAATAAAGCAAAACAGCAGTTTGAAATTCACATTCGAGTCCCATTAGAGATCAATATTAGAAATCGATTACGGAATTAATATTTTCTCGAGTCGAGACCTATGTCCCATTTTTGTTGAGATCGCTATGATTCTCGATAGTTTTTGGAGTCGTGCTCTAACGTTTGAGATTGGAAAATGTGGCTAGTTCTCCAATTATTCTCTATTCGATACCTAACCTCAATGCTTGCTGGGATGCTAGTTGATCTCCGTTGGCGACATTCGCACGGCGAAAGTTGTCGAACACTTTGAATGCCCTTTAAGGTCCTCTATAATTCGCCTACTCAACGGCGTTCGGCTAAATCTGGCATCCAATGTCGAACGTAGCATGAATCGAAATTTGAGTTTAAGATCATAGAATCCGATATCGGGTACGCTTGATCAATTTAAATCGTATTAATTCATTCGATTCGATTCCATTCGAAACGAGGATTCAAGCGACCACGAATACCGCGATTTGGGCCCAGGTCTTTAAGATGCCGGACTTGGCTACTGATGTGACAGGGAGGAGGTTCAGCTTCAAGCAAGTGCCACCTGCAGGGTGCAGTGACATTGATTTGCGTTCTTTTGGGACAATCTTCTTCTTCTTGTTTGGCGCTGTAAACGGCTAAGCGATTTTTGCCGAGTCCAACAAAGCACGCCATTCGTTTCTCTACTGTGCCAAATGACGCCAATTGGAAATGTCAAGCGAAACCAAGTCTTTCTCCCCTAAGACTAATACGGTGTTTACATGAGGCGATTTTACAGGCAATTTTAAGGCGATTAGTTGAATCATAAGTTGGCATTTAGCAGCTTTTCAGCTCGAAAGCATCTTAAAAAAACAGAAAATTGCAAATAAATGGGAATACGAAGCGTTTTAAGCAAAGATTTTTAAATAAATGAAAAATGCCAAATTTTGTGTAAAACTATATATGTCATATATTTTGTGATATTGTCTTCTTAAATATAAATTTAAAAAAAAATGCAGAATACAAATAGTTAAAAATGTGAACTTAATGCATAACTCTGTTTTTACCGTACAAACTACTAAATATGTATGTAAGTAAATTTTTAAAAATAAATACATCAGAATGCAATACACATACACATCAAATATCAACAACAAAAATTTAATAAAAAAGTAACTGTGTACAAAATTGAACAGCGTTTAACTTAGAAAATTAATGTCTTCACAAAAAGGCCATCATATGCGAATAATATGTACATATGTATGCATAGGGTGAATTACCAAAAACAATTCGCGGTTCTTCCACCGGAATTATAACACATTACTATTATATTTTAAAAATTCCGCCAAAATATATCGGAAAAATATTAAAATTAAAGCCAGCTATACCGATTCGAAAATACTCCAAAAAAAAAATCATTATTTTCATTCCGTTGACAAAATGTTAAATCATTTGTATGCAGACCTTCTAAGGTTGAAGTCCTTTATCATTGGGTGGTAATTTTTTAGAAAAAAAAATTTTAAAAACTAATTTAATTTTTGTAAAAACTCGATTTTTGGAGGTATTTTCAAATAGATGCACCACGTTTAAATCTTAATATTTTCATAAATATTTTTTAAAATAATATAATAAACTTCGTTCAATGGCAAATAAGTATAGATTTTGTTTTTGTATGGAAAATGAAGCACCCTAATGTACATACATATGTGTGTCCTATGAATATGTATATGCGTTTATGCATGCATGTGTGTATGCTTGTATGTATTTATGCAATCAATTTGTTGATATTCTATGAACATAGCTACTGCATATGTTCATAAATTTTGTAATGCACTGTAGTGGAGTGAGTCTTGTGTCACTAAAATAATGTATAAAGGTTCGCGCGCGGTTGCGTAGCAGCGATGTAGGGTTTTAGAATAGCCATTTAGCCTACGAGTTTACGGCTTTTTCATTATTTTATATATGTATGTATGTGAATTTTTTAACGCGAAAAATAGCGCCTAATAGTGCCATAATAAGTTCTGTTACAAACTTTGAAATTTTGAATTTAGTCTGATATTCACGCTGTTAAAAAAATCGGCATATCCATCGATCCGTTTCTTAGAATCTCCTATTAAGTAGAGCATAGTGTCAGACGGAGACGACCATGCGTAGAAGTGCTAGAAAAATTGTATAAATAGACTTCCAATCATCATCAAAACATCTGTTAGATGAGGACGGTCTGGTTTCCGAGCTCAAATCTTGTTCTTTCTCAGTAAGCCTATCATTTTATAATAAAAAACCTTTAACAATATCTTTAAACTCATACCTTCATAAAATTTTTTTTTTAACTAAACTCAAATTGTAACAGACCTTATGACAGGACCGAATTCGAAAAATGTTTTCTTTTTTTTTGTGGATCTCTCTATGGGGCATAGTCGAATCTCCATAAAAATATGTATGTATGTATTAGAATGACTTTTATTTTTTGAATTTCAATTTTTGAAATAAATATAATTACAATTTTTTCTAAAAAAAAAAAAATATAACAAGTTGAGGTTCCTGCGAATGACGAAAACCTAAGTCAAAATTCCATCAAAAACTTCCACATTGTTGTAGCACTAAAAGTTATTGAAAATTTGTTGTATGTTCCTTTGCATGTATGTATGTATGTAAGCCAGTTTATGTATGCATTTACGCACTATGTATGTACATGAAGAAAAGCGAGTAGTGATTTATACAATTTTTCATGCAACTTAGACTCATTTGATTAGCTTACAAGTTCTTGAGACTTTCTTTAGGCTAAAAATCTCAACTAATTTTTTAACTCAGATTTCGCAAACATTCTTTCTTTTCCATAGCTACACATGTATACATACATATATTATAAGGTTAAACTTATTATTTAGCAATTCTTACTTAATTTAATTTTATACATATCTAAAATATCGTAACACAATTAATCTTTATAAAAAGAAATGCTTTGTTTTTGTTTGTCTCATTATTATGATGCTTCTCTATCAAGTTTCTCTTTCCGTTTTCATCACTCAGTTATCGCTTACATTTCTATGCCAACAAAAAATGGCTGTGCTCCCTTCAAATGCATTTCCTGTTTCCTGTTTACATTTAAACAATGTCTTATTTTTTCTTTGGATAATTTTTTAATTTTTATGTAGCTACAATGTTGACAATAAAAATAATTACAATACATATTTTCCATCATAAAATCATTAGCAATCATACATACTCTTTTACATACAGCATAAATTAAATTTATGTTAAAATTAATTTTTTTTTCTTCATAAAATTGTATTTGATGTTTCTTTGCAAATGCACAGTTATGCTTAAGAAAGGGTTAAATGGAATAAATTGCGTACAATGATTCATTTCTTATTTTCATACATACATAAATATGTAGTAAATGTCAAGTTTTGTTTTCTCAAATTTTCTCATAATTTTCTTTTCTGTTTTTTGCTTTGTCAGCGTAAATTTGGCTAGAAATAATGTGGTACAAATGTTTGTTTATCAATTATCAAATATTTTTGTTACATAAAACACTATTGTTTGCATACATATAATTTTTTATCCATTAGCGTTTATATAAAAATTAAATTATTATTTTTTTTAATACAATTATTGTTTTTTTTTTTGCGGCAAAAGACATACCTGATTGTATGATCAAGTTGATATATATATATATATATATATATATGTAATTGTATATGTATATATATAAGTATGTATGTATGCGTAGTTTTCAAGTAAGTTTAATTTTTATGTATGTATGTGTGTAAGTATGTCTCGTTATAGTTGTAGCATGATTTTTATCATATTTTAGTTGCAGTATGCATATATGTATGTATGTATGTGTGTAAGTTTGTATGTTAAGTTCGGACATAAATACACGTTTAACGTTTTTGACTTATTTGTATATTCTTTTTATTTTGATTATTATTATTAAGAATTTTGTGAACGTGATTCGAACATCGCCGTCATATCACGTATGGAGAATTGTGGTGAAATCTTCTCACGCCTGAAATGAAAAAATAAAAGTATGTGAAAATGCTTTCGTAATGAAGAGTTTGATACAAATTATTGCAACTTTTCTTAGTCATATACATACTAGATATGTATATACGTACAGTGGTGGCCAAATAATTAGGGTCATTACTTCTTTATAAGTTTTGTCCATTAATTATTTCTTTACTTATTTTCAATTCATTTTTCTTCCAAAAATATAGTTTATACTACAACGAAAACCATGTAATTTAAGGTTTCAAACCTTATACAAGACTACTGAAAATTCACCAAAATCCACAAAAATGTTCAACAAAATTTCACTGTTTAATTAAAATTTCAACAAAAAAATGTTCGGCTATTACCTAGTTTCTTCCATGCAAGCATGTATGTACATATGTTCGAAATTTTTTATATGGAAGAAAAAAGCAGCATCGTCAGCAAAACAATTTCAAGAACGCTTAAAACCCCAAACTGAAATAAGACCAAAACTTTCGGGAGTGTTTTCACAAGAGCGAAAGTGAGATCAAAACTGTCAAGAACGTTCTCAACGGAAATTATATAAGACCAAAATCCGAGGGAACGTTTGCAATGCGAACACAATACTTTCGGGAATATTAAAAAATGGGAACAAAAGTCTCAAGGAACATTCCTGCAAAAAACCAAACGGTAACAAAATTTTAAGTAACTTTTTCTAAATCCGAGAGAAATGATAAGCGATGTGGAAGTTGAAATGGCTTAAAATTGACAATCATGGTTCTCATTGAATCGATTTTTCATCCCAGAACGTTCCCCCAGACTTTTGTTCTTATTTGATTTTGCTTGAACCTTTCAACCTTTCTCGATACCATTGTTCTCATTCTGTTCTTCTTGAGAACGCCTCTTGAGAGATTTGTTCTCATTTTATTCATTTTGAGAACGTCCCGAGAGTTCCCTGTCAAACTGTTCTCAATCCTTTGGTTCCTGTTTAGTTATTTTGCGGGAACGTTATTGACATTACATTTTGTTATCGTGCGGAGCTAAACCAAAACGGGAACCCGTTTTCGGTCCCTGGTTATAAGGCAAAGGCAATTTTTCATTCAATCAGACCTTTAAAATTACCTCCAAATAGGTATAGGCATTCTTGTAAATTAGGCAGTGTCCTGATCTGACAGATTCTAATCATCTAATATTATCCTTATTTAGGCTCAGTGGTAGGCCAGTGCATTTACCGCTGAGCACCGACCACAATTGCTTAGCAGTTTTGTTATGCGATCTGTCGTTCGCTACTTTAATAAAGTTCTCCGAGATACAAAGTAGCTTGCAAGTTCGTAAAGGTTTTCCTATTTCGTCATTTATATCCTCAATAGGAAGCCTTTTGCCAACTCGCACCAGTTCATCGGCCTTACAATTCCTCTCAATGTCGCTGTATCCCAGAACCCATATCACTTTGGGTGAAATGACTTAACCGTCTCGTTAAGAGATGCGCAGCTTTTCATGGCTACCATGGAGGTTGTCGTCTGCTTTGCGAGGTATTTTATTTCCGCCTTTAGTGTAGATATCAAGTTGATATTATCAACTTTGGGTATCATATCACATTTTATCAGTTTTGTGGCCCTGTATATTGCCATAAGCTCCGCCAAAAAATGCTACAGTGGTCCGGAAGATGAAAGCTAAGGGAGATTCCCAGATGATAGTAGTGTACACCTTTACCAACCCTTCCCTTGAGCTTTCAGCCATTTGTGTATACCTGGATGGACTCTGCACTCCTTACATCGTCTTGTTTCTCCTCTTTCCTTGAGTGTAGGTGGGTCGTAAACGCTATAGCGAGAGTAGGTTTCGGAAGTGCATAGTCCACCAATCTGGGAAGCTTCGGAAACCGTGACCGTAACTGGTATTTGACCATTTATTTAGAATGTTTATTCGAATTGCCACACCTCTTGAGATCTGTTAGGCATGTAGGTCTACCGGAAGAAAATTCATTAGAACATACCGTGCCTTAGATGGTGTTGTTCTCATCGCACCAGTTATGACTGTGGACGCAAGACTTGGACTTTATTCATCTTTTTAAAAAGTTTACCCCTTTCCCAATGGTATCCCACCATTCCAAAACCGTGATAGAGAATTGGCCTTAACACCGCTGTGTATAGCCAGTGTATTAATTTGGGTTCCATCTCCCATTTTTTCGCCCATTGCCCTGCTGCAGGAATATAGTGGTACTGTTGCTTTGCGCACTCTATCTGCAATTTTGGGCCCCAAATTTAGTTTAAATTTGTATTCATTTTCGTATCCGGGAAACGTTCTAAAAAGATCATGTTATTTGGAAGCAATAATTTTATTTGTTCACGCTGAACATTTGAAAGCATTTATACATAGTAGGCAGTGGCTGAACGTGCAGAAGACCGTGCTACTATTTTTTTTAGCTTTCAGAAGGTGCCGGGTTCGAATGCCGTTACGCACTTCCATAACTGTTACTTTTTTCCAACTATGAAAAAGCCTCTGGGAAGTGCAGAAGGAAAGCGAGAATGAACGAGCAACGTATCTATTTCACAACTATTTTCGGTATTTTTCTCTACATACGTTTATGGGGCACACTTTAGTGGAAAACGGATCGTCAAAGTATCCGAAAATGGAATCGGTAAACGGACAAGAATTCGCATTTCATCCTTTTCCTTTTTCGGATCAACTTCCGGATTGTTTGCTGGCTGGGTGAATAACACGCCATAGTGGCATCGTAGGTAACTGCATAACCGACAAGCTGGTAAGAAAAGGCAGCCTTGAAGAAATTTGTCCAAGCAAAGAGAAATTCCTCTAATTACCTCAAATCTGGCGAAATTTCTTACTAAATTTTTTGTCATTTAAAGCGCCCTGGAAATCTAGTATGGCACCACTTGTTTCTAACATTGGTGTGAAATACTCATGCTTTTTCTATCGTTGATCATGGAAGTATGCTACAGGCGTTTTCACGGACGGAGATTGCGAATATGCAGCAATTTAATCCTCTCGTGACAACCGCAAGATGACTTCCAATGTATCAGATTGCGCGTAAAGCCAGAGGCTATACTTATATTTTAAAGCAGTTTACAGCTTAAATATTTCTCTATCGATCTAGTTATTAGAGAACTCATTCCGAATCGATAGATTCTACATATATGTATGTATGTATGTATGCAAGTAGTGAACATATTATTAGGTTTTTAGCTTAAAGAAATGCTTAGAGCAAATTTACTTACGTTGAGGTCAAACTTTGTCTGCTGGTCGACAATGGCGCAACACTTCCCACACCACTGGCTCCATTATTGCCACTGCCCATCAGCTCACTCCTGCTATTACGTTCGCGCGCTGCTGCATTTGAAGCCAACACTCCTGCTGTGCCGTTAGCTAATTCGTAACTCTTTCGTTCGAATTTTTGCACAGTGGCGCGCGCTGAAAACTCCTCTTGTAGGGTAGTCTTCTTCACAGACGACGACGTCGACGATGTTATTATATTGGTTGTCTGAGCAGCTTCATTTGCTTTGGACACAGCGATCGCGGACGCATTTGCATTTGCATTTGAATTGCAATTATTGCTAGCCGATGTTGCTGTTGTCGCAGTTGTAGTATTAACATCACAATTTTGATTTTTCTCATCGGAAATACTACGCACGCGTGGCGCATGCAAAGTGCTTTCCGAGCCAGCAAGTAGGCGTGCGCGTCCCAGCAAATCCTTAACATTTTCATTCTCCTGCTGAAGAGCGCGCATATCGCCGCGGGATTTTGATTTGACACGCAACGATTCGGGTGCATTGAATTTGTCGTCATCTTTGTGTGATGAAGTGTGTAGATCAGTTTTGGAGCGCGATTTGAAATTTGTCGCATCACCACGATACTTTTGCGTCAGCTGCTGACGGCGTTCCTCTTTGATTTTGTCAATGCGTTCGCGGTCCAGTTTGACGCCGGATAACACTTTGAGGCTGGTGGTCGAGAGATTCAAATTTGAGTTGCTCAAATCGCTGGCGCTGGCAGTATGGGCTGATGCGGTGGTGTGTGCAGCATTTGCAGCGTTTGCAGTTTGCTGCGTTGAGGAACTCACATTATTTTGTATGAGAGAAATGCGATTTTCTGTGGTTGGCGTGATTTTCAACTCAGCTGTTTCATAATCGTTCTCCAGCGCTGCATCGCCCGCTGCATGATTGTGACTCTTTTCCAGCTTGAGCGCTGCTGGTGGAGGCGCCTTTTCATTTTTCGATAAACAAATCTCCTCGGTGATCGGTATGCCGGGCAAGCGCTTAGGCGGATTTAGTGTTTTCGGGCGCGTAAAGTCGAAACTCTTGCGGCGATTGGACACCTCAGACAGTTCGGGTAGCTGTTGGCTGCTGCGAGTACTCAACTCTTGCAGATGCTTCGAGCCAAATTCGCGTACGAAAGCGTTTTCATCTAACGAGCGCGTTATTTGTTGCGATTTTGTAAGTTTTTGCTTGAGGTTCGGTTTTGCGACATCTTTTGTTGCCGACTGCTCAGCATTCGATGTGAGACTCGATTGCGAGGCTTTCAACTCGGCCACTGCGCTTGTGTGCTTTTTAATCGAGCTGCGGAAGCTGAAATCAAAGGCAGGCAGCTGCTCGACGGGCGAACTTTCGAACTTTGTAGCGAGCTCTTTGACACTGAAGTTCGATGGAGACTTGCGGGCTGAATTCTCAATTATACCTGCGCTATGCGGCGCCTCGAGTTCTAGCTCTTTTGCAGTTGCGCAGGCAAGTTCCTCAGGTAGTGACTTCGTAGTGAGCGCCGCCACGTCCGTGTCCGTTTTTACGCTGTCAAGGCTATCCAACTCCAGCTTGTCAGAGGCCTCTTGTTTCGCTTTTTCTTCGGCGCTTTTTAAATCTTCACCCAAAAGATTTTCATAGATGCTCTTTGGCTTGCGCATTTCTACATTTTCGTACAGCAAGCGTTCGTCCTCTTCACCTTCGGATGGTTCTTCCAGGCTATCTAAAATATTTGACTCTCCACTCATCTGCACATCGGGGTCGCAGTCCTTCATAGCAGCGTTTCTCTTGTAGTCTTTTTTATCGCCCAGTAGAGGCATATTTTCATAGGCGCTGTAATCTTGCATCTCATTTTCATTGGTCTCCTTTAGACTCTCAAGCGTCATGCTGCTTTTGCGCTCATCGCTCAGCAGTTGATTCACCTCGGTCACCGAATTTCGAAAGAACTTCACCTGCTCGTAAACTGTGTTCTCATCAAAGCTTGTCTCCAGCAAAGGTCCCTTGGTCTTCGTCTTATTGCGCATTACCACAGACGATTTAGTTGGTGGCAATTCTTCACGTGGACTCCGCATGTTGTAGGTGATGCTAATCGTAGCACGTATCGGGCTCGTTGGTCCACCTATTGGTGGCGGCTTGTGCGCGCCCAGCAGTGGTGAAGCCATATTACTGGGCGTGTTCTCGTATTCTTCATACGCTGGCGATTCCGCCTCGGTTTCAATCAGCGAATGCATGCTGGACTGACGTTGCAGGTTCTGATAGCCGAATTCACTGGGTGTCACCGACTGACTAGTATTGTCTGTAAAATTAGAGTTGTTAGGCGAAGGTATAAGTTGCTGTGCCAATTCGCGCTGTCTATTGTAGGGCAACGTTGATGCATGTCCAGCGCCACCATTACCACTTGCATCTACGCTATCGATGGTCATTTTTGAGCTCAACGGTTGTAAATCGAGTGAGAGTTCTCGCTTAAGAGCGTGCATGTCACGTCGTTCTGGATGCGAGGCATTCGTGATGTTCGAGTGTGAGGTGAACTATGGGGGAGGAAATTGAGAGAATACTTTCGAATTAGAAAATAACGCAAATAAATTAATTGTTTAAATGAAGTTGGATAGCCTTTTTAGGTAGTTAGATATAACCCGATAAGGGCTATAAATCTGATATTCGGATTTTGGCCGTATTTACAGATATCCGGCAGGGATATTTTGATCATCCGAATATCCGGATATCAATCGGATATCCGCATTAAAAAAAGAACGGATATTAGTCAGATATCGGGATTGAAACGGACGGAAGGGTACACAGAAAATTTCCGGACGTCCAATCCAAGACAGATGGGGTTAGACTAAAGCTTGGTCTCCTCAAAAGGCAGTGTGTAATTGAATGTGTGTAATGCTTTAAGGTGACAAGGAGTTTCTGAGATTTTTCTGCTGCACAATCAGTTTTATTTCATCTGAGTAGACAGATGTGCATACCTCTTTTCTAATATCTATGTATGTGGTAATCGAGAAGAGACAGCCGTGGTGTACAGACGTCGAGAACGACCATTTTTACCGTGGATCCGAGAATATACCATCACTTAGAGTAACCGACTTTGATATCATTTGGTAGAAACCCGGCGGAACTCAAGGCTAAGTGCCGTCGGCACTTAGAAGGGGTGGGATGGCTCCAACTGACCCGGACAGGCTTCCATTTCTTTCACTTTCTCCTTTTTTTTATATTGGCATGACAAAATGTTTGTTTGTTGTAGCTGAAGATAGAGAAGTGGCAAACATCCCGTATGGACATGGGTGTACATCTTTCAATAACCCAGTGATTCGCATTAGATCGAACTTCATTTGCACAGCATTTTTTTTCGATAAAGAACCGACTAAAGTCTTCACGTACAGGGTAAAGAGCCACGCAGAATACACCACCTCAAGCCTCAAGAGGTCGCGCTGCATATGGAACAAAATAACTACAATCAGCCTAAGGATGCAGCATTACAATCAGTTTATTACTACCAATGACAATTTGTATGATCAGGAAGTTACTACAGGTTCTTTTAATCCTGTTGAGGGCGTCTTCATTCAATCGTCCTACTCAGCCAAAGTTCTTCCGCTATGATCATTGCGTTAGGTTTTCGCCCATGAACCAGGAGCCTGCGTGTGTTATAGTGATATCCAGCTTGGATACTTTCTGAAGGGCAAAATCATTTGTCTGCTCCCTTTACTCGGGTAAAACCAAAGCATGTGCCATTATAGGAGTGTTCGCTATGCAACTGCCAGTAAGAATTAGCCAATAACAAAATTCAGCGAATAAGGTACCTTACTCTCCCAAAGAGAGAAACTTACTAAGTTTTGCGCGAACAGGAATTAGCAAAAATTTGCAAGCTTCACTGCCAGCTGGCGTCCACGGTTGCAGTTCGAGCATAATCAATTTTTTTAATTATTTCAGATGGAATTGAAAACAGGACCTATACGTATATTTCTTCTTATTCTGACTTTCTTCAACATACGCTTCAATTTCTTTGTGGAAGTCACTGTAGGATTTCCTATATCGACAGCGGTTGAGCGCACTTGAGTTCCGATTACGAATACAACTTTTTCAGCCGGGTACCTTTCCAATGTTTGGAATTAATTAAATTAATTGAATAAGCGAATATTTACATACTTCTTTCATTAGTAAATCGCAACAAGATTGTTAATTTTTAAATTTAACGAACTTGTTGATTCAAATTAATGTCGACAAAAATGCAACCGTGTGCCACAATCCTGCTTGTAAATTCTTACTGGCAAAAGTCTCTCTTTGGGAGAGTAAGGTACCTTATTCTCTGAATTTTGTTACTGGCTAATTCATACTGGCAGTTGCATAGCGAACACTCCTTTCCCCAGCACGAATTTGCAACTTCCCCTCCAAATGAAATGTCAAAATTGTGCTCTCTCCTTGCAAGTTTTACTGGGTTTTTGGCTAAACGAACACGATTTGGTAACAATTGGTACCAACTTGTACAAATTTTCTGCATAGCGAACACTCCTTATCTAAATAACTTCCTAACGCCATAAAACAAAAAATGCAATGACTCACATTACTGCTGCCGAGACTCTCGTGCGAGGTGCCCAAACAGCTGACAGAGTCCACACCCAACAACAATGGCTGCTGCTGCTGTTGATGAAGTGAAGATACGCCCGACAGTGCAGACAATCCAGACATTGCCGAGGTAGCCATTAACGGTTCCAAATCATATTGTGGCGTATTAACCGCCGAGCTATTTTCCGAACTGGTATCGCCAACCAACAGTGAGTAGCGTGGACTTTGCATGGGCGAGGAGGGGGTAACAGAAATTTTCGAACGTTCCATTTCTGATTTGGCATCTTTGGTTATTTCATTGGCGCTGTTGCGCAATAACAGCGAATTCAGCGCCTCAGTTGCATTAGCATTACAGTAGCTGTTGCGATTTTTCGAGCGCAACAATTCGGGTAGATTCTTGGGCGCATATGTATGATTGTTGTAGTTTGTGTTTCTGCGGAGAGAGAAATGAGAAAATTGTTAGTTTATTTCAATTTTACGCACATCGATACAACTTACCTGCCATAAGGTACTTGTGTAATGCTTTCGAGCTCACGTTTGGCGCACAGCTCTTCCTCGAATTGCATACGCGCTGCAGCATCTTTTGTCGAGAAGCGGCGTTCATTGTTCAACCCCGAGCCGGGATAGCTGAAGCGTTCTTTGAATGAATCTTGATCCTTGCGCTTAGCGCCCAATTGCACTGTGGGATAGCTGTAGCGTGTGCTAATGATATTACTACCCGCTGCGGCGGCTGCTGCCGCGCCAGCAGATGTTTTCTTATCACCACTCTTAGTGCTAATGCCATACTTCTTTTCGAATTGCGCCGCCTTGGCGCTAACGGCGTCTTGCAATTTGTTGGCACTCTCTGTCGAACTATACAGTGAACTTTTGGACAGCGCTGACTTGGGTGGCGCATGCACTTGCACGCTCGCATATAGCGTCTGTGAATTGGCTATGGTGTGCTCAGGCGTGCCGCAGTCAATGAATTGTATATCAGATAACTGATCCTCCAACTTGTAGCGCTTGCAGCAGCTCTCGTCGCTGGAGAGATGTGCGCGATGTTCCTGGCAAGCCAACTCGTTGCCGGCAGCATCCAGCATTCCGCTTGCTGACACGCCTGCTGCGCTAGCGCCCTGCTGAGCCCAGTTGTTCGCGAGCGCTGAAGCGGCGCTCGGCGACAGATGCAAATTCAGACGCGGTTGCTTCTTTGGACTCGGGTTTACGCTATTGGTTTGACTGGAGAATTCCTCGGGGCGCGCGCGCATTATGCGACGTGAAGCAGCGCCCGACGATGGTGGTATATTCTCCTTGCCGACGCGCGGCGAGCTCACCAACGATTCACTCTCAGAGAAGATGCGCATTTCCGGCTCTTCGCGATCGAAGTTCAAACCCAATTCGGAGAGTTCACGCGAAGGGCAAGTGGTTACGAGTCCGCGCTGCGGCGACTGTAGCAGGTCAAAGTAGGAATCGTGCGAGACTGAGCGCGAGTGACCCGCTGTGCGTAGACTATCTATGGAGTTCGAACGCACACACACTTCCATCGGCTTGCCTGCTACTTCGTCGCGCCGAATGCTGGTATCAAATAGTTCAATCGATTTCGGTTTCTCCTGCTTGTGCAAAGCCTTCCCCACCTTACCCGAGTTTGTAATAATCAAGTCTGCCTCAGCGAAGGTGACCTGCGCATGGCTGCCATCTTTGTGTCGCGCTGGTGGCGTATCACTACCGCCAGCTGCGCCCGCAGCGCCAATAATCTTCGAGTCGTGGGCGCCGTTACTAATCGGCCGCTGATTGCGCGTGAAAAGCGATTTCCATGAGTGCGTTTTCCGCTTTTGCCAGCTACGTGGCACCGACAACACAGTGTGGTATTTATCGGGCAGGCTGGATGGTCCACCACCAACCTCGATATATGAACCAATATTAGCCGCATTGCTGGCTACCATATTGATGGGCATTGAAGACTTCATATCGATGCCATCGATGCGTGAGTGCCGCTCTTGAGCCTCCTCCAAACTAATTAGTTTAGGGCCGCCGGTGCTAAGACTTTTGGGACGCTCCATGTAGCTGAGCGATTGATCATGCTCTCGCTGTTCAACCAGCAAACTCTCGCAATCTGTTAGCGAGTCGAGCCGCGTCTCGGTGGCTGGTGTGGCGCCTGCAGTGGCGATGTAACTTAGTCGCACGTTCGTGTCATCGAATGCATCGAATATGTTGTGACAATTGCGTATCAGGTACTCAGTGACGACGGCTTGTACGCCTACGCCGCGCAAAGCGGCCACTCCGCCAGACTCGAGAGCCGGTGAACGAAGTAAATTGGGAGCCCAGACAATCGCGAGATTCTTGTCAGTCATGCTGGTGCGCGCAGAGTGCTGCGAGATGCGGTTCAAATGCTCGGCCAAGTATTTCAGAGTGCTGTGAGGAGAGAAGATTAAATGTTAGCACAAGAAAACTCCTCAAGAATGCTTAGAATCATCTTTAGTAAGAGGCAAGCTTTATGCTTCTTATCTAGAGCTGAGAGCCTCGTCTAAAATTGAGTATTTAAACTACTCACACACATTGCTGTTCTTCTGAACACTTTTCACTTACCGATAATGCGGTGGCGGCAACTTCAAGACCGTTTCCTTCATCAGTCGCAACCGCTCAGTTGACTCGCTCTTCTCCTGTATGGCCTCCACGAAGTTATCATACAACTGGTATGTACACAAAGGGTTTGGCAATTCGCGGAAGTACATTTTCAATAGCGAACTAACGGCATGTATATCTTGTTTCATCTCAGGATTACCCAAATCCGGTATGCGTTCCTCGTCGAAGGCGCGTCGCAACTTCTGTATGTTCGAAGTTATGCCCGAAAGTCGATAGATGCCATCAACAATGCCATATTCTTCAATAAATTCCGCGCAACACTTCAGTACCATCGGTATTTCTTGGCCGCTATTGAGTAAATGCTCCGACAGATCGCAGGAGAATACGCGCTCACGATAGATACCACTCTGCTTGAGGCGTCGCCGCGATGGGCGTGATAGTATAAATGAACGAAAGAAAGCAATCAGTTTGCCGTGTTTACGCAGCACTGGCTTAGTCGGCGAAACATCCAGCTGACCGACCAATGGCGCAGGCAGCGGAAAATGCCGTGGCACCTTATCACCGATGGTGGCCACGCACGACTGCGGAAAGAATCCAACTTCATATTGAGATTTTTGCAAATGTGACTTCTTGCCGCGCCACCAGATCGACTCAGCCGGACTGGGCATATCAATAACGGATATCATGTCGCCCACTTCGATCGAAATTTCATCAGATGCCTGCGCTTGATAACGACGCACGCCATAGGCAGCGCCCACAGCGGGTGTATTGATCGTGCGCATTGTATCGCCATCGGCTAGTGGCAAGCGCCGCCCCTTATTGTCCAGCTGCAGCCAGGTGAGTATAGTGCCGCAGGTTAGCGAATCGGAGGCGATCTTTGAGAAGCGCTCGAGATACTTAGCCACAGCATATTCGACGTCTTCCTCACTTTTGAAATCCATTTCTTCCAGATTCTTCAAACCGCTTATTTTGCGATCGTAGACGCAACGATGCAACATTTCGTCCAACATTTGCATGTTGTCAAAGGAACGTTTCACTAGAAACGGATCACAGTTGTGCGGGAAAACTTTAATGATGAACCAACAATTCGCTGGCGAGAAGGAACGATACGATGCTGGGCCGCCGGTGGCACTGCTGTTAAGCGCCTGCCCCACCAATTGACTGCTGGCAATATCGCCACCGATCGATTGTGATGCTATGCTGCTGTTGAGTAGCTCGGATTTATCGTCCATCAGACGTACCGAAAATGCGCCCAACTGCACACGTTCATAGTGAAAGTGTGCGCATTCTTCGAGCTTAGGAAAACGACAGGATTTCTGCAAAGATAAGAAAAGAGGAGTGGAGGCTAGTTTTGAGTTGAAAGGTGGTAAAAATTGAAAGGTAGAGTCGTAAAGTAAAGAGGTAATTAAACTAAGATTTTGACTGTATAAGCGACACAAATATATAAATGAAAGGACCCCGTAAGGACCGTGTCGACATCATTTTAAGGTCCCACATTAAATTTTTCCATTTATTGATACGATGGTGAGGAGTAATTTAAATGAGTTTCTGATGAAGCTCTTCACAAATGGTTCGAATTTGAATAAACAAGCGGATAAGCACATATCTGCTTATCCTGTTAAGAAGTTAAGGCTACCACAATAGTTCGGAGTATTGGAGTTCAAGGTAAACGTCGTTAAAGAGATAGTCACTGGAAAGGACTAAACAGATAAATAAACTACAGGTGATTGGTTAGACGATAGTAAATCGGCCCGCAAAAACCCTACGGAAGACACACCTCCTAAACCCAATTAGTTTGGTACCGATTGGTAGTTCTTTCTTATCATTACGTGCGGATTTTGGTCGAAAGCGATGGTCCTTCCGCAAGATGAATCTAAGACTTGACTTCTAGTCAACAGGACTAACTCTCTTCAGCCGGGTACCTGGATGGTACCTTAACGTGGAGTGTCTTATCGGGTAAACAGAGAAGCCTCTAATCCTATCGCAGCTAAGTTTACAAAGCCCTGCAGTCTATCTTGTGAGCGTACCACAGCAAGGCCATATACCATACAGGCTCCCTTGGCACTCGTCATATTGCAGTGTCTTATAGGGTAGACAGAAAGAGCTCTTCGGCTATCCCGGCTAAGATTTAGCAGGTGTTAGGGGACGTCTCGAACGGAGGATATGAATTTATGGCATTGCAGTTGCCGCTTTGATCATTGCATGGCAACCGGAGAAGGCTCTCATTTTCGAAAAACCTCTGCTGTGCTTCCTTTGGATGTATTACAGAAAGGCTGGATACCATAAAGGCTCCCTTGGGACTCGCGTTAAGCAGGTGTTCAGGCACGTCTAGAACGGAGGATATGAATTTCTATTGACCATTGAGTGGTTGGAAACCATACAGGCTTCCTTAACTTGCCATGTCTTGTCAGATAAATTGTGAAAGTTCTTGGGCCATCTAGGCTAAAGTTACGCAGTCGTTAGGGAACCCTTGTAAGCAGAGGTAAAGGCAATGCCTCTCTCGAGGCGTCCCTAAACGACTGCGTAACTTTAGCCGAGATGGCCTAAGCACTTTCACCGCTTATCCGACAAGGCATTGCGTGGCAACCAGAAAACTCTCAGCTCTGCCGTGTAGAGACCATAAAGGCTTCCCTGAAACTTGCGTTTTGAGGGAGTATCAGCACTTTTGTTGCCATACGACCCCTTTTGACCTGATACCATCACAAGATAGCCTTTTAAAGCTTCATAGTTTGTTCGTTTTAAATGAATCTAAGGCCTTTAACGTTGCCTGGCTGTCCGAAATTATATTTACGCAGGCCTTTAAGGGTTTCTAATTCCAGCTCAGGCATTGTGAAATGGAACACTTCGAGGTAGGTTAATATGGGCGATTTCTGGCCAGCAGCCGTTAAATGAAACTGACAAATTATATCTGCCTTTTCTGCTGCATCCGTATTTCTCACACTCTTTACGTGTAACTTACAGATATTCATAGGGTAAGGTGACTCATCCTATTGCTTTTTGCCCATTTTGATTCCGCAATATTCCCATTCCAATGCTAGGCAGCATTACTTTTGATTTCTAACACATCGATATGGTCATCTTATTGGCCTCATTTACTGTTGTAAATGTCAAATATTATCAGATGTTAACCTACAATGACCTTGTGTAAATGGAATTGAAAATAGAAGGCTGAAGCAACTATCCCAACGAGAGACTTGTAAAAGAAAAAGGACTGAATGAAGAACTAACGGCAGAGCAGCCAAATCTGTAACCCGTGGTAATAAACAAATTCCGCAAACATATAAAAACACAAACACATACACATATACGTACATACGTACACACACAAATAACCAAGGTAAATATTACAAAGTAAAATTTATCAAAAGGAGGAGGTGAAGGACACAGCAAAAGCGCAAAAAATTCCCTGCGGCATTGCAAACTTATGAGAATATTTTGAATACTAAAAGCTTTATGAAAATACCGAGCGCTAAAAGCAAAGTTCAACTCTTGTGCAGAATATGGTCAGATGAACGCATGCCCGACGACTGGAATTTAAGTGTGCTCTGCCCAATCCACAAGAAAGGTGACCCCGCCATTCGCGCCAACTACCGCGGGATCAGCCTTCTAAGCATAGGTTACAAGGTCTTATCGAGCGTATTGTGCGAAAGACTGAAGCCCACCGTCAATGAACTGATTGGGCCTTATCAGTGTGGCTTTAGACCTGGCAAATCCACCATAGACCAGGTATTCACAATACGCCAAATCTTGGAAAAGACCCGCGAGAAAAGGATCGACACTCACCACCTATTTGTCGACTTTAAAGCCGCTTTTGACAGCACTAAAAGGAGTTGCCTATACGCCGCTATGTCTGAATTTGGCATCCCCTCAAAACTCATACGGCTGTGTAAAATGACGTTGAGCAATACCACCAGCTCCGTCAGAATTGGAAAAGACCTCTCCGAGCCGTTCGCCACAAAACGGGGTTTCAGACAGGGCGACTCCCTTTCATGTGACTTCTTTAATCTGATGTTGGAGAAGATAATAAGAGCTGCAGAACTGAACCGCTCAGGAACAATTTACTACAAGAGCGTGCAATTGCTGGCTTATGCCGATGACATCGACATCATCGGTAACAAAAACCGCGAAGTCTGTTCTGCCTTTTCCAAGTTGGATAGGGAAGCAAAGCGCATGGGTCTGGTGGTAAACGAGGACAAGACGAAGTATCTCCTGTCATCAAACAAACAGTCAGCACATTCGCGCCTTGGCACCCACGTCACTGTTGACAGTTACAATTTCGAGAAAGTAGAGAATTTCGTTTACTTGGGAACCAGCATTAACACCGATAATAATGTCAGCATTGAAATCCAACGTAGAATCACTCTTGCCAACAAGTGCTACTTTGGACTGAGTAGGCAATTCAGGAGTAAAGTCCTCTCTCGACGTACGAAAACCACGCTCTATAAGTCACTCATCATGCCCGTGCTGGTATATGGCGCAGAAGCATGGACAATGACAACATCCGATGAGGCGGCTCTTGGGGTGTTTGAGAGAAAGATTTTGCGGAAGATTTACGGTCCTTTACGCGTTGGCGACGGCGAGTACCGCAGACGATGGAACGATGAGCTGTATGAGCTTTACAACGATATGGACATAGTGCAACGAATTAAAATACAGCGGCTCCGCTGGCTTGGTCATGTCGTTCGAATGGACACCGACGCTCCAGCTCTGAAAGTATTCAACTCGGAACCCGCTGGTGGTAGCAGAGGAAGAGGGAGGCCCCCACTGCGATGGAAAGATCAGGTGGAGAAGGACTTGGCTTCACTTGGCGTTTCCAATTGGCGTCAGTTGGCACAGAGGAGAAACGACTGGCGTGCTTTGCTGAACTCGGCCAAAATCGCTTAGGCGGTTACAGCGCCAAAAAAGAAGAAGAAGAAAAGCAAAGTTGGTAGCTGCTTTAGCGAAAATGTGTTCATACATGCTTCAAAGGGTACATTCTTGCACTGAATTTCTCGTTTAGTAAGGAATGAGTTTCATATTAAAATATTTAGTTAAAAAGTACGAAAATATGCTCTAATAGTTGATGCTCCCAAAGGCACTTCAGCAAAATGTGCACCTACATTCATATGTATGTATGTATGTACTCGCACTTTAAGCATCGGTAACAGTTGCCATATGCAGTCAAAATAAGGCAGACCAATCCGTCTCTTATCGCTACTTTCAAAGACCCTTCAAAGGTTAATTGAGTTGTATATCAGAAACGAAATTCCCAAGGAGCTTTTGGACTTAAATCCGCTTGCCTACCGACAGACAGGGCAAATCGATGAAATCGGCTCTAGACTCCGTTGTAGAGATTATTGAGTAAGCGATCAGTGCCTTTTTTTTTGAAATCGAGGGAGCTTTTAAAAAAGTTTTAAGGAAAGCGGTTAGTATGTGGCGATCTGTTGGAAATTCTGAAAAGGAAAGCCCCTTTCGGCTGGTTGAATGTGCGGATGGCCTAGTAATTTTTCACCGCCTTTAGTAACTCTGTATGAACTTGACCATTTATGCTCCCACCACAAATACTCCTTCAAGGAAAGATTACAATCTTTATAATCGGGGCAGAGGGAATTTATTTATCAATGGTTCAAAGTTGTATGAAAAGGTATGTAGCTGGAGGAGTCTTAATTGGCCATTTTCCGATTGGAAGCCGTGCATTTAGGCTCATCATCTCAACAAAATAACGAAAATGGAATTGGCAAGAATCACTTTGACGGATTCAGCGCCAATTAAGAAGAGAAGAAGACAAAGATAATCATTAAATATAAAGATATGAAAGCATATGAAGACAAATATGTAACTAGTTGACGATGTATGTAGATGAAGATGTGGATGAACACAAACATAAAGAGGGAAATGGAGATGAAAATGAAGATGACATAGACAAAGTTAAAGACATTGGTTGTGCTTTTGTACACTCTTTAAAGGTGTTCTAACACGATATGTATTTGCATCTGTAAATGTGACTTTTTCAATACATATCGTTAATATAGAAAGGCCCTAACTCATACAGTCGCTGAAATACAAAAGCCGAAACTAAGTAAATATTCAAAATTCCCTTGTGATTAATTATGATGCATTTCATTGAGATATACATAAGTCCCGACATCATTTTAAACAATTAAAAATTTTAGTCAGTTACGGATTTTTTGCATTTCAGCGACCAAATGAGTTAGGGCCATTCTATATTAAGGTAACGATATGTAATTTCGTATGTCTCTCAAATTCACAGTCTTTATTTAACTATTTAAAAATATGTTCTTTGAAAACGAAATAAACTAAACTCAGATGATTCTAC